AGTGTATATAATGATATATCAGAAGAAGATTGTAACATAAAATATATATACAGTGTATATAATGATATATTAATAAAATATTGTAACATAAAATATATAGTGTATACAATGATGTATTAGTAGGAAATTGTAACATAAAATATATGCAGTGTATATAATGATATATCAGAAGAAGATTGTAACATAAAATATATACAGTGTATATAATGACATATTAGTAGAAGATTGTAACATTTAAATATATAGAGTGTATATAATGATATAATACCTATAAATTGTTGGTTTCAACTGATAATGTACTTAGGCCTAAACACTTTTGATTGTATGATTGTAATTTTCTAGGAAATAATGGGGCAAGCAACAACTGGGCGAAGGGCTTCTACACGGATGGTGCCGAGCTCATCGATACCGTGTTGGACGTCATCAGGAAAGAAGCGGAATCCTGTGATTGTGTGCAGGGATTTCAGCTTACTCATTCTCTAGGAGGAGGCACGGGATCGGGATTGGGAACCTTGCTGCTTTCTAAGCTTAAGGAAGAATACCCTGATCGGATTCTATCCTCATTTTCAGTGTTTCCTTCGCCAATGGTAAATCAATAACCCAATTTGAACAATATATTTCTTAATTTCATGATTTCCAATGGGTGTCCATATTATTAATCTTAAATAGTTATCTTTACCTGAAAACTATTCTAGTTGATCAAAAAGTATTCCAGACACTTTAACATATTTAGCCTGATGGTCTATCTAATCAGAGAAGTAGTAATATTCAAACAATTCAGTCCATTCTAGTTGATCAAAAAGTATTCCAGACACTTTAACATATTTAGCCTGATGGTCTATCTAATCAGAGAAGTAGTAATATTCAAACAATTCAGTCCATGCGGTATAATTACAAAGCTCGGGAAGTATGACTCCTTTTAGCGCAACATTCTTTGTAGCTCAATCCTTTAAGTACAGTGGCGAAGCTAGAGAAACAGAGTTTCTTTCAGCATAACAGACTTTATGTAATTCAATTCTTTTAGTATAATTGCAAAACTGTGGAAGCGTGGGTTTTCTTTTAAGACAAGATAATTTACGAAATTATGTAATTCAGTTCTCTAAATATAATTACAAATATGGGGACGCATGATTTATTTTAGGATGGCAGAGTGTATGTAATTCAGTCCTTTGAGCATAACTGCAAAGCTGGAGAAGCATGATTTCTTTTAGGACGGCAAACTTTATGTAATTCAGTTCTTTGAATATGATTGCATAGCTGGGGAAGGATACATTTCTTTTAGAGCAATAATGTAATTAAATTCTAGCATAACGGCGAAATTGGATAACATGATTCTTTGAATGGTAACATACTTTACATAATTGAAACCTTTTTAACTGGATTACATAATATAATAGGGGAATTTTTGCAGGTTTCTGATACTGTGGTCGAGCCATATAATGCAACATTATCAGTGCACCAGTTACTAGAGAACACGGATGAAACTTTCTGCATCGACAACGAGGCCCTCTACAACATTTGTTTTCAAACCCTAAAACTTCAAAAACCGGTAAATGATGACCTGAACAAGCTCGTGTCTTCTACCATGTCCGGTGTGACTACTTGTCTTCGGTTTCCTGGTCAGTTAAATGCTGATCTTAGAAAACTTGCAGTAAATATGGTTCCTTTTCCTCGTTTACATTTCTTCATGCCAGGATTTAGCCCACTCGTCGCCAAAGGGAGCCAGGCATATAGTACTTTGAATGTTCAAGAGCTTACCCAACAGGTAGAAGCAATAGAGATATTATCATGTTCCTGCTACCGTAGAATGTTCAATCATTTAAATATAACGTTTTCTTTTTATCAGCGATTTATAAGTTATTTTGATAAATAACCAGAAAACTGTTTGATGATAGTAAGTGCTAGCTCAAGTACTTGTTTTTACAGAAACACAAATTGCATTATTTCACCACTGAAAGTTTCATTTATTAGTTCTTTAGATGAATATCAGTAAAAGAAGGATGGTATGCTAATTAATGGATGGATTGTGATGGTAACGTGCAAGTGAAGTGTGGTGTATAGATTGATGGATCAGTTGGTTCAGTACCTGATAAGTGTCGTATAATGTGTAGATTGTTGGAGGAATTGAATTGGTTGCTTGTAATGGAGAGTGGTGATACAGATTTATGGATGTACAGGTCGATAGATGGAACGGGATTGCAGCTAGTAAATGGCGTGCCATGGTGCAAGTTGTTGGGTTGATTGTTGCGGTGGAAACATGTAAGTGAATGATACAGATGATAGGCAATGGTAAATGAAGTGTTGTGGTGCAGATTGTTGAATGAGCTGCAGTGGTTTAGATTGTTGATTGAGCTGCAGTGGTTCTGGTTGTTGGATAAGTCATGCTAGTAGGAGATGGTAAGTGAAGTGCTATGGTAAATATTACTACTGTCATTTACACTACTTTTATTAAAATATTCTGTTAAAGCTCATATTTCCTGAAAAGTAGAAGATCTCAATAAGTAAGTGGATTAATTCCATATTATTTTCTAGATGTTTAATGTTCGAAACATAATGACTGCATGCGATCCCCGCCACGGGAAGTACCTCACTGCAGCGGCAATGTTCAGGGGCATGGTAAGCATGAAAGAAGTGGAAGAACAGATTTTATCGATGCACACCAAAAACAGCAGGTTTGAAAAAGTTTTTTGTTCGAGTCAAATTTCCGTCACTCACATAAATACAGTTTATTATCTATACAGCATCACGATGAAGGAAATTAACCAACTAAACATCTGTATCAGGGTCTGACAATCACGTTTCAGTGTTTTTGCTAACAGATTTATTTAAAACGTACGTGAACCGATGGAAGTAGAAGTCAGATGAAAAATACAATAAAGTTTCTTAATTAACCACAAAGTTTAGTCTCGCTCCTAATGAGGAACTTCAGAAAGTAGTTAAATAATCAAATAAATACGTGTATATGTAGTGGAAAAACCTGTTAACTTTTTTTGTGGATTTACTTGACAACAATGACGAAAGCAGCACGTTACTAGGTTTATTAAATAGATCAGTAAAGAAAAATGTCATCAAATAACGATGTCTTATTAAAAAGAAAAATTGATACAGATATCTAGTATTAGTAAAGATGACTCTGTAATAAAGAAAAATGTTACACATCATCAAATAATGGTAACTTTATTATAAATAAAAAATATACAAATCATTAAGTAACGATGTCTTTATAGTAAAGATACAAATCATCGTAACAATGACTTTATAATAAAAAAGTTAGATGTTATAATCAAATAACGATGCCTTTGGCGTAAAGAAAAAATATACAAATCAATAAGTAACAATGTCTTTATAATAAGGAAAAAATATATACAAATCATCGTAACAATGACTTTATAATAAAGAGAAAAGATACAAATCATCGTAACAATGACTTTATAATAATGAAAAAAAGATACAAATCATCGTAACAATGACATTATAATAAAGAAAAAAAAGATACAAATCATCGTAACAATGACTTTATAATCATGAAAAAAAGATACAAGTGATCGTAACAATGACTTTATGAATAAAAGTTAGAAATAATTATGAAATAACGATGCCTTTAGAGTAAATAACAAAATTTTCTTTGTCCATAAAAACAATATATATATATATATATATATGATATTCACCAAATAAAAGTAAAATATTGACGATTTTTAAAGGTTGTTTGTTGTAAACAAAGTTGTTTATCTTATAATTAACCTTTATTCCAGCTACTTTGTCGAATGGATTCCTAACAATATAAAGGTTGCAGTCTGTGACATTCCACCAAGAGGCTTGAAAATGTCAGGCACTTTTATTGGAAATTCAACGGCCATATTAGAAGTATTTAAGAGAATCGGGAACCTCTTCAGTGGTATGGATACACGTTTATTATGTAACATATTTACTCTTCAAAAGACATTTAAGAAGTACACTACTGCACGCAGAACTATATTAGATTCAGAAGCTTATAGCAGAGAATAACTATAGTTGCTGTGTTCTGCAGTTGTCTGGTTGGAGTAGAATCTTTATTGTTTCCGAAACGGATTATGGCGATTTCTGTCACGCGAACTTTATTTTTCTTAGCGAAATCTGTCACGGCTGTTTTTTTCCTTTCAATATCAGTAATTT